CCGACATCAAGGTCTACCTGGTGGGGAAGGAGCAGGCAGGGTGTGCAGAGGGGAGAGGGGCCTCCAGGCTGGGACCACATTGCCACTCTGCTTGCTCTCTCCTGATGGTTTGGCTCTTGCAGAAAGCGCTGGTGCTGGACCAGGAGTGCTGTGTGTTGGCAGACCAGGAGGTGAAGCTGGAAAACAGGATAAGCTTTGAGTGAGTGGGAGCTTTGGGTTGATGCTATTGCCCACAATTGTTTGGTCCACATCACACATGGCCACCCATGGTGCCCCACGCCCAACCCCCAAGGTGGTCCCAAATGCCCCGGCTGTCCCCCTGCCTGTCCTGCCTGTCCGTGTTTGCCTGCAGACAGCCTCTTCTCCCCCTCCGCAGGCTGGAAATCTCCTCCCTCAATAAGACCATCCGCATCACAGCGAAGTCAACCAAGCGCATCCGGGAAGCGCTGCAGCCCGTGCTGGGGAAGTACGGTGTGAGCATGGAGCTGGCGTTGCTGCGGCGGGTGAGGACTCGCACTTTGGTGGGCACAGCCCCAGCCTCCGGCAGCCGGGATGCTGTGGTGGTGGGGCCCCAGTTGTGGGGCTTGGGCCAGGGGCTGCTGGCAGTGACCAGGTTGTGAGGAGCAGTCGTCTGTGCCAGGGGCAGCCTGCAGGCTCATGGAGAGTCACCATGGTCTGAGATGAGCCATGGCATCCCGCTGTGGGCTGGGAGGGACCAGTGGGTGTGCTCTGCACTGGGCAGCCCACGACCCAACAGGGTCTGGCCAGGGAGCTCACCGGTCCTCAGCCTGGCTGCCTTTGCTGTGCCACAGTGAGTGTGACATGTTGCGTCTTCCCGTTGCAGCAAGGCGAACCAGCCGCCCTGGACCTGGAGAAGCTGGTCAGCACAGTGGCTGCTCAGAAACTTGTCCTGGAAACACCGGCAGGTAGTGTCCTCCCCCCTGCAAGCATGTCCTCCTGCAGAGTGAGCACAGAGCCAGGCTGCTTTCTGCTGGCCATGGCTCCTGCTCCCTGGGATGGGCTCCATCCTGTCACCAGCCAGGCCAGGACCGAGGTGCTGGCACAGGGTGCTGAGCATCACTTACCTTGCAGACATGCGAGTGACGGAAAGTGCCGAGGCTGCAGCCGCCCCCTCCCCACTCCGGAGCGAGGTGAGCTCAAGATCCCACAGCCCCAGTCAGAGATGTCCTCACAGCTGCTGCCATGGTCCGTGGGGAAGGTGTGCCTTGCCGTGACCCCAGCACATGCCGCGGGGCTGGGCAATGGGTGGCAAAGCAGGACCCAGGCTGTGGGAGGGCAGTGGGGACGTGGGCTGGGGGAGCACTACCTCCTTGCCCTGTTGCTGAAGCCTGGGCTGCTCTTTGCAGGAGGGAAGCCCGACAGGAGCAGAGCCCGACACACTGTGGGAGATGCCCTCCTCCTTCCCCCGGCCCAGGTCTTCAGCTGCCACAAACCTGAACCGCCGCACATACGACCTGGAAGGTGAGACCTGGCATGTCTGAAACCTGAGGGGCTGGGGCAAAACATGGGGTGAGGGATGCAGGGACCCCAGTCTGCTGGGGACGGGCTATGGGGAACTTGGGGTCCCCGAGCATGCTGGGGATGGGTGCAGAGTCCCATGGGTGCTGGCATGGAGCAGGGAGAAGGTGCAGGTGCTGTGCCTAGTTCATGTTCAGGGTCACATCAGGTGGAGAGGGCAGCCGAGGCGTTAGGACAGGAGCCCAAGTACTGGGCTCAGGTGCGTGACCTGCATTTCCCCCAGGGCTGGTGGTGCAGCTGAACCGTGCCCAGAGCTGCCGGGCCAATGACCAGCGTGGGCTGCTCTCCAAGGAGGACCTGGTCCTGCCTGACTTCCTCCAGCTCCCCAGGCAGGGCGACAGTGCCTGTGTGGGGTCGGATCAGCCCCCAGCCCCTCACCCAGGCTCCGAGGGAAACGGCCATCCTCAGCCTGCAGAGCCGGCGCCGGCTCAGCCTCCGGTTGACCACGAGCTCCGATGAGTCCTGCTGCACGTCTGCACCCGGCGCGTGGTACCCCCGGGCCATGCCGGGGTTCAACACGGGGCCCAACCAGCCCCTGCCCTGCACTGCCGACACTGCCCGGACCGCAGATTCGTCCACGTCCTGTCCCAAACTGTCACGTCGTGTCGCTGTGAGTGGTTGAGCTGCTGCCATGCCCCTCAGTGGGGGACACATCCTGGTGCACGTCAAGGGAGTGCTGTACATAGTTTGAACCCCTGTTGCAAAGCACTTTGCAATGTCCCATGCACGCCTGGCACTGTCCTGCCCAGTGCCTCTGCCTCTGGCAGAGCTGCCGCCCCAACAAAGCCTGCCTGTGCCGGGCTGGCACAGCCCTGTGGACTGTTCGGGTGAGGAAAGCACCGCTCCAATGGAAGGATGTGTGGGAGATAGAGGACATGGGTGGGTGGAATGGGAAGGCAGGCACCAGCCCCGAACACCAGTGCTGTGGGCAGGCAGGCTCAGGAGAACGTGTGTCCGGAGCTGAGCGCCGGATCCAGACCCTGACCCTGCAGAAACAGGGGTTACCCCTTGTTCATGTGCGGGTCTACCATCCTGGGGAGGGTAAGCATGGTCCCGCTGGCCTGTGTCTTGGGCAGGTTGTTACCATCTGCATTGTGTGAGTGTGGCTGGGCCTGATCCTGCCAGGTTCAGTGCCGTTGTGGCGCGAGGCACGGAGCCATATGTGCTTTCTGCCCCGAGCAGAGGCAGAGGCAGCAGGTTGTGCCAAAGAAGCCTTCCTCGTCCCCGCAGGGAGATCCTGTGTGGGCAGCTGCTGAAGCGATCCACAGGAGCAGGTCCCCGTAGGCCCCCTGCGGCAGCCCAGCTGGGGCCATGGGTGCTCAGCCCTTGGGGACAGGCCTGCAGGGTGTCAGAGGAATGCAGCACCCCTGGGTGCTGAGCATCTCAGCCGCGTGTGTGGGTACCCAGCCTGGCATCCCTGCCGGCAGCTGTGCTGGGCAGAAACCTTGAGCCCGGCTCTACTGGACCTGGCTGTGCCTGGCTGGTCCCCATCCCAGGCAGCCCCATGTCCCCAGAGGTCCCAGAGCCAGTTTACAATGGAGACAGCCCCCCAACAGCAGCCAGGAGATCCCTCCATCATCCATGTGTGCCGGGGCCCTTCCCTGGGTCACCGCTTTGTCACCACTGCCTGGCCCGAGGCAGAGGGGTGGCCCAGGGCAGCCCCAGGGCTCGCCTGCGGACAAGGGTCATGGCCACCCAGCCCCACGCTGCTGCAGATGGCTGTGGCCCCACAGCCCCGGTCAGAGCCCCCCCATGTCTCCGTGGTGCTGCTCAGTCCCGTCTGTGGTGTGAAACCGGGGGAAATAAAGAACATTGCCTGGACATGCGTCCCTCTCCTTCCTCTGCCGCCGAGGCTGGATGGTGCTTTTCCCGGCAGCGATGTCCCCCCAGCCCCTCTGTACCCCACAGAGCTCCCCCGGGCCCAGGGCAGGGCTGGACCCAGCCCTTGGCTCCAGTACCACCCTGCCCGGCAGCAAGGGGCAGTGCCAAGAGCTTGTTTTCCTGGCACCACTGATGGTGTAGGGGAAGCTGTGGGGCCGGCACGGCCAAGGACTTCAGCCCCGTCCCTGTCAATGAGTGACAGCCAGAGCTGGCAAGGCCTCACCATGTTAATGATTGTGGGGGCAGCTGGCCAAGAGCCCCCAGCCATGGGGCAAGTGCGGACACCAGCCTCCTGCCCGCTGCAGCCCGGCATGGGGCTCCGTGGGTGCCACTGACCGCATCTCATCCATCCAGAAAGGTCCCCAGGCCCTGCAGGGGCATGACATGTGCCTGTGGCACCTCCTGGGTATTCAACTCCATTGGTTTGTGACTCGGTGGAGGCTTGGTGATGTTCCAGCAGTGGCAGAAATGTCCACGGGCTGTCCCCGAGCACCCTGGGGTACCTAAGGGATCTCCCCTTGCTCCCCCCATACAATCGGAGCTGGCTTGTCCACGGTGATGGGTCCTGAGAGTGCCTGATCCTGGAAGAACAGGGATGTGGCAGTGGCACAGCCCCTCCATGCCTGTTTCCCATAGCCACTGGGCTGGAGGGGCCTTTGGCCCTTGGCTCTCCCCTGGGCAGATGCGGAGGCGAGCTGGCCAGGCACCTTGTGGGTGGATGGAAACTTGGCCAGAGGTGCGTAAACAGCAGGTAATGATAAACTGCGTCGAGGAGGTGGTGACGGCAACACTGGTGTCACTCTGCTCCTGCCCACCCTGGTATCGCATGTGCTGGGAAGATGTGGGCTCTGCCCCAGGCAGTCCTTGCAGTGCTGCCGACTGCTCTGTGCCGAGCCATTGGCACGGGCTGAGCCGGGCCGCGTGCCACCATCACCACCAGCGACAGGACACAGGGACCACACTGGTGCTGACGTAACCCACCGCCAACACCCTGGCGGTGAGGGCGGCGCATGCCCTGGGCAGAGCCAGGTCCCTCGCAGCTGATGCTCGATGGCCCCAAGGATGGTGGATGTGTGCATGGCCTCACCTCCTGTTTGGGACACCCCAGCAGCGCCAGCACCAAGCCCTTCTTCTCCTCCTCTTCCTCTCATGCAGGGGATGAAGGACCCAGCACCAAGTGATGGAGAGCTGAGGCTGCTCCAGCATCTTCCTCAGACATGGCTCCAGCACTGCCCTGTCTTCATTCCTCACCACACCGGCTGCCGCTCGCCCAGGGGCGATGCCGAGCCTCGGGCAGGCGAGGCGGGATGTGCCGGCAGCGCGGTACCCCGGGGGCGCGTGCCCCATCCCGCCCCAGGACAACGGCTGACGTGGGATGCCGCAGGGTTACCCATTAACTGCAGGAATTTCTGGGGAGGAGGTGAGCAGCGAGTGGAGGCGAGGGGCAACACGGGGCTCCTTAGACTTTGCTCTTGCCGTGTGTATAAAGGACCGTGGTGCCCCGTGGGCCACTTTGCTGGAGGGACGCGTGGATGTGGCATGTGGACATGGTGCTGCCCTGAGTGCCCGGCCAGCCCCAGGTGAGCAGGGACCTGGGCAGGAAGGGTCCCCTCCCCGTGTCCCCTACCTGCCCTTGTGGGAGCTCACTGGAGTGGCACGGTGGCAGCTGGTGGCCCAGAGGACCACCGGGTGATGGGATGGTGCTCCTCGGTGGTGCCAGCACTGTGAGGATTTGAGGGGCTGGTGGCGGTCAGCATGGCACAGCCATGGCTCCGCCATGGTGACACGTGGCCGCCTCTGCTCAGCCTCAGCAGGAGTGATGTTGCCCTACCGGAGGGAGAGCCCGGTGCTGCCCCACTGCCCGGTGCGGGGAGGAAGGGTGGTACATGGGCCCCAGTTTGCCTACTGCCCCAGCCCCCAAGGTAGGTGCCCTCAGCCCTCCTCCTCCTGCTCTTCCTCACCCTGCTGGGCTCAGCTCTGCTTCTGGCCAGATCCCGGCCCAGGCAGTGCCTGGGTCTCCTCTGCCAGGGGGTCCCCATGAGGATGGGACCGTAACGTGGGTGCCCCTTCTCCCCAGCTCTGCACCGGCTGCCGGGCACCCATACCTGCCCCTTCACCGTCAGTGCGGTGCCTTGCCCTGACCATGGCTTCCCCTGCCCCGGCTCCCCGGGGCGGCTGGGCGAGGGCAGGGAGCGGTACGAGCTGGACGCGCTGCCCTGGCAGGGGCCCCGACTGGCCTTGGACGAGCTGCAGAAGCCAGGTGAGACCCCCAGGCACCGGGGACACAGCACCCGTGTTGGGGAGCACCCCAGAGACCTGCCAGAGGCAATGAAGGGGGCTTTCAGAGTGCCAGGACTGTGGGGTGCCAGGAGAGCCCCAGCTTTGTCCCTGGGACGGGCAGCAATTCCTCCCCACTGCCTGGCAGTGCCAGTCCTCACGCTGGCACCCCAGCCTGTCCCCCCAGCATGGTGGGCTGCATGCCAGCGGGGGAGACCCTCAGCTCCCCAAGGTCTCGCGGGCAGAACCAAGGGGGGCGGTTAGCACAAGGCGCTCCGGGGTGGGAGGAGATGGAGGTGGCCCAGGGAGTGGTGGCACAGCCGGGGACACGAGCCCCATCCCACCAGGGGCACGGGAGGATGGTGTAGGGCTGCAGGAGCCCGGGGAGCCAGTGCTGTGCCACAGCCAGTGTTTAACACTCTCTCTTGTCTTGCACAGAGCTGGGGTGCTGGGCCAGGGTCCAGTCCATCTGTGTCTCCCTTCTCAAGGTGCCCCTGATGTTTGGGTTCCTGTACCTCTTCGTGTGCTCCCTGGATGTGCTCAGCTCTGCCTTCCAGCTGGCCGGAGGTAGGGTGGCAGGGGGGGGAGCCAGTGCTGTGCCACAGCCAGTGTTTAACACTCTCTCTTGTCTTGCACAGAGCTGGGGTGCTGGGCCAGGGTCCAGTCCATCTGTGTCTCCCTTCTCAAGGTGCCCCTGATGTTTGGGTTCCTGTACCTCTTCGTGTGCTCCCTGGATGTGCTCAGCTCTGCCTTCCAGCTGGCCGGAGGTAGGGTGGCAGGGGCACCTGAGTGTGTGGTGGCACCCACCCCCCCCCCCCCCTGCCACTCACACTCTTGCAGGAAAGGTGGCCGGGGACATCTTCAAGGACAACGCCATCCTCTCCAACCCAGTTGCTGGGCTGGTGGTGGGCATCCTGGTGACTGTGCTGGTGCAGAGCTCTTCCACCTCTACCTCCATCATTGTCAGCATGGTCTCCTCGGGGCGTGAGTGCACCCACGGGGCTCCTGGGGACCTGAGGCTGGGGAATAGGGTGGACAGATGGGGTCATCCTGTGCCGGGCCGTGCAGTGCTAGCAGGTCTCTCTGTCCCCAGTGCTGGAGGTGCGCTCTGCCATCCCCATCATCATGGGCTCCAACATCGGCACCTCTGTCACCAACACCATTGTGGCCCTCATGCAGGCTGGTGACCGCAGTGAGTTCAAACGGTGAGAGCCGGTTGGGGCAGAGAGGACTCAGGGGGCTGGGGGCTGCCCCCAGGGGGCCACCCCATGCTGATGGGCTCCTCCACACAGGGCCTTTGC